TGAAAACACTTGGCCTGCGTTCTGGATGCGGCCGGCTGGAGCGGCAATGGCACCGAGCTGGTGATTCTTCTGCGCGAAGTCCGTACCGAGCTTGATGTAATCATCACTATTGTCGTCTTTGAGGAAGACAAGATCTGCCTTCCTCATGATGCTCTGCAATTCGCGGCCGCGGATGCCGAATTGGAGGGTCACATAGAACCACACCTGCTGTACAAGGCACTTGGCGTCCTTCTTGGTGTTGAATAGGTAGTTAATCTTGTTCATGTCACTTTCCATGATAATGTCCTTGTGAGCAATGGGGCTCATCTCACATTCCATCTTCAGCTTCTTCATGCCGTCGAACGTGTCGTTCGCGCGGCGAAACTCTGGGTCCTTGTATATGTTGAAATCACGTCCGAGATCATTTAAATGCCTCTGTACGCCTGACCGGAATCCCTTGTACGAGTTGTACTGGTACGTGTCACACTTGTGCGTCCGCTTTCCGCCGTAACACTTACATAGAACATGGCAGAGGTCATCTTTGGAGCATTTCTTTAGGTCCAACGTCAAACTAGATTTCTTCATGAATGTTTGTAAAACAGACACCCAGATTTTCGTACTGTCCTTTGTACTCTTCGGCGTACGACCAGCTATCACGGAGTCTACATCGGCATCGGTCACGAAAGCAAAACGTTTAGGGGCGGGTTCAGCCATTTCGGGACCGGGAAAAAAAGATGAGAGATGTATTTGAAGCACTGGTTGAACGTAGAAGACGAAAAATGTATCGCTTCCTGTATAAGTGGAATACAGCGACGTAGGTCAGGAGATGGACGGAAAGCAGTATCGTCTGTGTACTATTCTTCCCTTCCTACAACCAATGCTGACCTGTGTGAATGGGGGCCTCTCGATCTGCTCGCGCCTGGCATTCAGTAACAGTTCATCGACAAGGACTTCAATTCAAAACAGTTTGCACACTGCGCTTCAAGCATTTTTCCTCGTGAACTTGCTGCAAACGTATGAGCTCTGCTGCGCGTGTTCCCTTTGCGTGAGGCTCAGAAACAGCTAGTATCTCCGTACTTCAATTGGCTGGGTCGATGTCATCCAAGTTCTCCTCGCTATCGCCATCACGACTCTAACTGGAGACGATTTCTTCACCATTTCCGCAAGCAGCAGCTAGCGCAGAAATTTCGCCATCCCTGAATGTAGGAGATGGAATCGGTTCGATCAGCTCAAAAACTCTTCGTTGTGACTAGAGGAGTAGCAGGGAATATTCTACTGGAAGCCCTTTGACTTTCCTGACTGCTGAAACCCTTCCTGCCATGACTGCTACTTCTTCAAACAAGCGAGAGTCTCTTTGGTTCCACTTCACTGCACTCGAGCGTCTACGAGACACAACCTTTTTACAAAACAACATTTAAAAAAAAAAGATTTTCACCCTGAGCCTGGTTTTCGCAGAAGTTGGGCCATGTATTCTATGCAAGGCAGCGTCGAAGTATGCGTTGTTTTAGACCAATGGCTTCACCATTTCGTTGTACATACAATGTAGACTGGGTGTTCAGTTTGGGTACAGGCACTTGGATTTGTCTTAGACCAATCCTTCACTATAGTATAGGTCAGGGAAGCTGATATATCAATGCCGTACACCTGTAACTATCCAAGATCATTGCAGGCTCCTCGATAAAGAATCATTTTAATTTTAATTATTAACTACTGTATATTTGAACAAACGGCGAGGAGACAACAATTTGATAACCGCAATCAGTAATACAAGCTGGACCGACATTTGTGTACACTGTATTCATGTATTGTAAAACTGTGGGGGGGGGGGGGGTCTTTCTTTCTCTTCTTTGTTCACTTTTCAGTTGCAAGTTTAGTGTTAGTACACACATTCGTTATTGCTCTCGCTTTCATTGTTAAATTTCACACTTGTAAATTCCACTGCTGTTGTTCTTAGTGTTATTTCTCTAACTTAGATTTTCTATAATAGTTCAATTTTGTTTTCAGTGTCCTTTAGTACAACGAAGATTCCTGATGAGTGTTGTACGAAAACTTGTTTGAATCCCTTTCTTTCTATACACAATTTCTTCACATTTTTCATCGTTTTATTGCACATTGTCTCCACAGTTTTACAATACATGAATACAGTGTACACAAATGTCGATCCAGCTTGTATTACTGATTGCGGTTATCAAACTACTGTATAAGTGAAACATTTCGTTCACAAAATCTTTCGTTAGATCACTCCACCAGCAGGCTTTTTACGTACCAATTTTCGCTTTTGGTCGAGGTCTGTTACCCCGAACGTTCAGAAAACAACTTTAGTTTGGTACAAACTTTAGTTATTTCGTGCCCGCTAAAGAATATAGCGAAAGTTAATTCCAAACGAAAATTTGAACTTATGTACTTGGTCCGCGTCAGCGATATTGTCGCTTATCTTTCAGCTTTGTTTGTATGTCGCCAATGCTCACTTGGCAGCCCATTTCATCCCAATTTTTGTTAGTAGGTTAGTTTACTAGTACCTGAAAGGTCTAGCTAGAGTTCGAGTCGATTTCGTGAGCGACGGGTGGGTGATTCTGATTGATACAGCGCCGCATCAAAATAGATTATCTTGTTACGCTGTGCAGGCAAGAGCAGCGCAAGCCACAAGAAAGTAATCGGCTACTCGGAATCAGCTCCATTTTTGCTGAACGGCCGAGATTGCTCACCTCGCTCGTCAAGCTGAGAATCACTGAGATCGCAGCTCCCGTACCTCCAGCTCAACGCTCGGAATATCCAGTGCGTCGTGGAGATTTGCAAGTACTGTACGCGTCGTCGTCGTCGTTAAAAATAAAATCTTGCAAAGAACGGCGTCTGATTTGAACCACACAGGCTGTCGTGCTGCCTACGCGAAGTCCTATAGAGAAGGCGACCGTCACGATCGACTTCTCTTTAGAAAATAGCCAGGCAGCGGAGAGGAAGAGAGATGAGCTTGCAAAAGCAGGAGAGTCGATCCCGAGCAAAAATATTTGTCACCAGCGCCGAGAGCAGCGACGAGGAGGACCGAAAAAAGTATGAACCCTTCCTTGGACAATAAATTCCTCCTAGCTAGTTGTCATTCTATACCGTACCGTCCATCGTACCAAATATTATCACTTCAAGTGCACGCGTTGATGTCCAAAGTCGAAGTTCAAATTGTCGAAAGATAAGCGACAATATTGCTGACGCGGACCAAGTAGTACTCATAGCTCAACTGTGTCAATTTAAGGCCAGTGAACGTAGCAAACTTCAGCAAAACGTTACAGTCCCTAGCGAAACTACACCTCATAGGCTCGCTTGATGAAGGAATTATTTTAGTACATTCGTAGATACACAGAGCAACAAGGGCAAAGTAAGGCTAGTTAGTTACTAGTCACTGCATGTTGTTGGTTAACAGCGTAAAATAAGGTGGAGGATACCGTGTTCGCAAACTGTGACCGGGGTGTACCAACCGTGGATGGTTGTAGAAAGGTCACTGTTTCCGAACACAGTGTCCTCCACCTTGTTTCATGCTGTCGTCTAGTGTCGACCAACAACACGTGTGAACTAAAACAAGGTTTATCCAAATACCATTGCTAGTTACTAGTAGTCGCTACTCTGAGTTTCATGCTTTCGCAATCATCAGGCAACATGAGGATGGTACTTGCCATGCTGGTATATATGCCAAAAGAGGTATTGGTGGGTCTTGTAGAGCTGTGTGAAAAGCTGTGTGTGAAAGTGGGGGCTGTATAGGTTTCAGGGCTAGCGGTGTTATTTTAGGCAGAAGGCTGTGTGCAGAGTGTGTGAATGTTGTAGGCAGGGGCTGCAGAGGCAGTGGCAGGGCTAGCAGTGTAGCGCAGAATGTGTGGCTGATGTGGGCAGGAGGTTGTTGTGAGCAAGGTTTGGATGTTGTAGGCAAGAGGCTGTAGAGGTAATAACAGAGCTAGCAATGTGATGTTAGCGAAGAGTACAAGATATTATATAGCTAGTGTGGGCAGGAGGTTGAGCGAAGTGTGCGGTTGATGTAGGCAGGAGGCTGTGGAAACGTTCTAAAGGTGACACCGTGGTATTTGAGGAGACAAAATACTGTTTTCGTGTCGGCCCTTGGACACCATTTCCGAGCGCTTCTTGAGATTGCATGGTGATTTTAGCGTGTTGAGGATATGGTACGTTTCTCTGGTACAGAGCGAACACCACTTCGTAATGTTGGTGTATGTTCAGGCGAAATCTTCCACCGATGTGTGTTTCGACGTTTCGTTTGAAAGAGCAGATAAAAAAATGCAGAAATAAGCTACAGTCAACTTCGCTTATAACGACACTCTGCGGGGCATCAAAAAGGTGTCCTTATTCGCGAAGTGTCGTTATACCCGAAGTCTCATTATATGTATACCAGTGGGATGGGACTTTGCTCTGGGCATGGAAATTCTGTCATTATTCACGAATTGTCGTTAGGCCAAAACAAATAATGACCTTGTTTCCGGTCACTTTTTTTTAAATTCTGAAACTTTTTTTGGTCCCAAATGTATACAAACGGTGGCAATGCCATGTGTGCAAGTGCACTCAACGAGTCATAACTCAGTCAAATCTCAACCGAATACCACAATCGAAACACCTACAAGGTAGCAGAGCTTTTCAGCTGTCGTGAAAACCTATGGGGTCGATACGAGCTAGAGTAACGGAGCTGGAAGGACTCGAACTGTTTGCTTAATTTCTCAGGATGTACGAAAACAGGAATACACCACATGCTGTAGAAGAACAGTGAGTGAGTCAACTCTGACATTGATCCTTGCCATGATATATGTACAATGTACATGTGTAGGTGCTCTTGTCCATCAACACCGCAACGATTGAGGAACCAAAAAAAGTATTCAAAAAAAGTTTCATTCCGGCCGACCGAGTCTCCTTTTTGAGGGGTTGCCGACCGGAAACAAGCCTATTTTTTGTTTTGGCCTTATACCCGAAGTCGTTATTAGCGAAGTTGACTGTAGTGTACTTCTGTTTGTGTATTTACCTGTGTCGGCTTGCAGTGGTCCTGCTGTTGGCGTTTGCCCGAAGTTGGGTGGATCACTTAAGTACTTGGACTGGGAAGGAGAGGATCCAGCGACACCAGAACGTAAGACTATTTTAATTATTGCACTCAGATGTATGCAGGCATGGAATCGAAGCGGGTGCATATTAGCCATGTTGCGGCGACAACTGCAGCGTTATCCACTGTGCGTGCTAGGCAGTCAAAATAGCCACCATGCTAGTAGTCAACTATTTGCCGGGTTAGAAGGAGGGAACCATTCTAGACTAGTGCCGTGGCATTGCAAACTATGCATTACGTCATTATGCATTACATCATCATGCATTACATCATCATGGATTACATCATTTTGATGATACAGAATGTAACCAGATCATAATACAGTCTAATCAGCGGACCACCATGGCGGAAAACTGACAAGGGGTACTGAGACATTGAACGACCTGACACTGTGGTCGCACTAGCTGAATGCATACATGGTTACATTCGTGGTTAGTTGATCATAACTCGTAACATTTCGATTTTCAATTTTTTTAATCCAGGATTACGTTGGCTCAACACTCGAGTTTTTGACCATATCATTATTGTTCTGTTTTCACTCTGTCGACCTGTATGTGCATTTTCAGTTGACGAGCTGCGGCATGCAATCTGGAGCATGGATAAACACAGATATGAGAAGAACAAGAGTGCAAAGCGGCACAAAGTTCACAGGTATGAGAAGAACAAGAGTGCAAAGCAGCACAAAGTTCGTCGTCTTTCCTTCTCGGCTCAATAATTTTGTAAAACAGACGAAGACATTTGATAAGTATGCAATTCAAACACGAGTTGACCCTTGACAAGCTGCCTGTTTGCTTGATTATATTTCTCATCAGCTCTGTCGCACCCTGGAATAGCTTGAGACTACATTTGAGGATTGACATACGCTGACTCTTTACAAGCCGTCTGTTTGCTTGATTATTTTTTATCATGAGCTTGACACTACATTTGAGAATTGATATACGTTGACTCTTTACAAGCCGTCTGTTTGCTTGATTATTTTTGTCATCAGCTTGACACTACATTTCAGTATTGATATACGTTGACTCTTTACAAGCAGTCTGTTGGCTTGATTATTTTTGTCATCAGCTTTACACTACACTTGAGAATTGATATACGTTGACTCTTGACAAGCAGTCTGTTTGCTTGATTATTTTATCATCAGCTTGACACTATGATTATTAGAGTATTGATGTACGTTGACTCTTGACAAGCAGTCTGTTTGCATGATTATTTTTATCATCACTCGCGGCTTTACACTCCATTTGAGACTTGATGTACGTTGACTCTTGACAAGCAGTCTGTTTGCTTGATTATTGTATCATCAGCTTGACACTACAATTGAGTATTGATATACGTTGATTCTTGAAAAGTAGGTTTCTTGCTTGATTAGCTTGACACTCCCGATTTGAGAATTGATATACGTTGACTCTTGAGAAGCAGTCTGTTTGCTTAATTATTGTTCTCATCACGCAGCTTGACACTACCATCCCTTGAGGGTGGTGGCGTTCCTGCAGATGGGGAAAACTCGGCCTCCAGCCGATTCGAACCATGAATTATTTTGACACTACATTTGAGTATTGATACAGTCATGTTCACTCTTGACAAGTAGTCTGTTTGCTTGATAAGTATTCATGGGCTTGATACTCCATCGGAGTATTGATATACGTTTTGGCTCTCGACAAGCAGTTTGTTTGTTTGACTATCCAAATCAGGCTTACTACAGCTGTTCTAGTTCTTTGCTACAAATATCTCCGCTGTAATCTGCATGACAATGTATCTTGCAAGCGTGTCCTTTATCGTTGATCCTTTTCTTGGCTTCCTTACTACCTTAGCTAGTTTTGTTTAAAGGGGAAAAAATTAAAATTTCACCAGTTGTAGCCTTCGGGGTGCTGAGTCGAATGGTCTTGGTCCGAGAAAGCTGAGACGCTCCCTTCCTACTTGAATCCCAATCGAACTCGCGCACTTCCACCGAAACTGGGTGACTGCGCCCTACTAGATGGGTATTTGTATGCAAAATGTCACTAAAAGCGCCATTTCGTTCTTATAAAAGCACGGATGACCGCGATTGGCCCATATGTTGTAGTCCTTTGGACGCTGAGTCGACTGGTGTTGGTCCGAAAAGGCTGCGATGCAGCGTTCCTCCTTTATTCCCAATCGAACATGGTTGAACAAGTGGTCACGTGCTCCTGGGTGCCCAAATCACCTGGTCACCACGCCAGCAGGCGACAACTTTCACACCAAGCCCAAGGTTCAACTCGAGTTCAACTCGAGTGACAGGAGTGCACCCAAAAAAGGTCAAACAGGCTAGTAAGTTGTACCCTGCAGGCACGGTGACCAGGTGACTGGTGTACGCAGGAGCACGTGACCGCTTGTTCAACCATGTTCGATTGGGAATAAAGGAGGAACGCTGCATCGCAACCTTTTCGGACCAACACCAGTCGGCTTAGCGTCCAAAGGACTACAACATATGGGCCAATCGCGGTCATCCGTGCTTTTATAAGAACGAAATGGCGCTTTTAGTGACATTTTGCATACAAATATCCATCTAGTAGGGCGCAGTCACCCAGTTTCGGTGGAAGCGCGCGAGTTCGATTGGGATTCAAGTAGGAAGGTAGCGTCTCAGCTTTCTCGGACCAAGACCATTCGACTCAGCACCCCGAAGACTACAACTGGTGAAATTTTAATTTTTGCCTTAACTTCCCCTTGGGAAGGGTGTCGTTGACCTTCCTTACGGCTTCATTTCTGTGCAGCTTGATCTTTCCTTGTCCAACTCTGCTGATGTATATTTTGCCACGCTAGGCACGCTTCCTTGACGCTATAAATTATACCGTGTGTAGAACCCCAGTGGCAATAATATGTACTTATCACATGGCACGTGATTGTTGCCCGTACTCCAGCGAATCAGCACCTTTCGCGCCGCGGGCAATAATTATGCGATATTGCCCGCAAAAAAATAGTTTATTTGCCCGCAAAAAAATAGTTTATTTCAGTGATCGCGTGACTACGATCGTACGACGACTCTGTAGACTGTACGACTCTACGACGAGTCGCAGTGTGTACGTGACATGTAGCATTGAGACGAAGATGGAATTCTTTTTGGAGATGGACATCCCGGCAATGGACATGGCCTCGGACGTCTGCCGTGTGGTGCTTGCAGGGATCATTTATTCAGTCATGTTGGCAGCCTGACCGTCGGTAAGCTTTAGGATAAGATTCAGTTCTGCTCGAAGTGGTACTGTGATCACAAACAATTATTTGAAATAACACAAACTCAACTCAGCGTCGTGCGTTTTCAAATCCTCGCAAAGTCACTGCCTGTGTGTGGTCTTCATGTGCCACGCAAAACTCTTACCAGGCTCATCTCACCTTTGCTTGAACAACAAACACAACAATTCAGGAATGTTTTGCAATGAAAGATACAGCTATCTGGAGCTGAAAAAAAAGAAGAAAATTGTCCTCAGAATTACACACCAGGGAGTCGTCAAATACTTGCACTTGTTGCAGTACTCGTACTGTATTTGACAACTTCCTGATACACATGTAAACATGAAGAAACTCTTTGTGGTAGCACTCTTAATTTTTCAATTGAAATTATGATTCTGCTGTATTTTATTGTCGTTGCCATGTCTATTGCTATGACGATGCGGTGCCAGCACTTTTTTCTGTCTCCGTCTTTCAGTATTGTATACTCTCTGATGGCCTGAAAAAGACTTTTTGTTAGGGTGTAGGAGAAATATCTTCATTTTTCCTGTTTTGATAATGATAGCACATCAATATACATTGTGGTCATAATGTGTTGGCATTTGGGCTAATTTCAACAGCAGCCCAATGGTCTGCTCTGTGGGCCATGTGATAAATTTGTTATCGCATGGTTGCTGCGGGCCTTATGGCATATTATTGCCCCTCGGGCTAACCTCTCGGGGCAATAATATGCCATTAGGCCTCGGTCACACTACGGCAAAAATGCTGCGTCAGCGTCGGAATCATGAGCTTTTCCATGGCAACTGACGCAACGCGGGAAGTTTGAGCGTCAGACGCTGCTGCGTCTGACGTGGGGAAATCGGCTGCGTTGCCGCTGATGGGAGTGACGCTTGGCGGAAAAACAGTGTCTTTCAAGTAAAATAATTAGTTTCAAGACACTTTGCTTGAGTTGAGCAGTTATTCGACATTCGTCTGTTCAAGGTTTGTTTTGTTCCCTCTTTTTGTTCGAGATAAGTCCGTGGACCTACGAGGCCGAGGCTGCTCTGCTCCGAACCTGGCGGAAGAGCGAGGCGTTTTCTGAGAAGAAAATGATGTCGAGAAAGGACCAGTTGTTTGAGTGGGTCATCGGCCAACTGGAGCCTGTTGACTTGTGAGTGTTGTGTTGTCGTCAAGAGCCCCAAAAAGGACAAGCAGTATGACGAAGTCAGGAGAAACACAGCTGCGATGCGGACTTTTCTTGCCTGATCAATGACACTACAACTGAAAATGGCTTCAAATTCGGAAAGAAACAACAACGATCGTGCACGCGTGGACCTAGTACCTTTCGTCTTCTTGTAATCAAAAATCAATGAAAAATTCGAAAACTTTGTCCGACAATTTTTTTGTATAATAAGCAAAAGGCCGGTTTCCGTGGGAATTCGTGTCGTCATTGAGTTTTCCTGGTGGTTTTGTGACGTAGACAAATGCGTCAAGCCGCGGCAGTCATGAGCTGCAAAAAAAACAAAACACTGTGTGACCCCGCGTCTCCGTCAAGTGCTGCGGCTTGACGCCGCGTCCAGCTTCAAACTGCCGTAGTGTGACCGAGGCCTAAGGCCCTTGCAACCATGCGATAACATATACATAATGCAACCCAACAGTACGCTTGTACGTGAAATATAAACCGACATACAAACCGAGGCGAAGGCGAGGTTTGTATGATGGTTTATATTTCACGTACAAGCATACTAGTGGGATGTATTATACTTATGCTGACCTTCATACAAACTGACAGTCAACTTCTTCTGTTTCTAAAATTAAAAAGGAGTTGGTATGGTGGTGGTCTATATGGGGTTTGTATGAGGTATGAGGTTTATATGCCCAGTATAAACCGCCAGCATGATGGGCAAGTTGACTGGAAGTTTGTATGAAAGGTCGGCATAAAGTATAATAATTATTGCCACTGGGGTTCTACACACGGTCTTTCCTCTCCCTACATGCACTGCGCCCGTTGGCGCGAGGGTTTTGTCCCGGCTGGCTCGGTTCAGGTGAATAATCTGGCGGCCCCAGCGGAAATGTTTCATATCCCATTTCTTGAACGCGCTTGCATACTGAAGTACCTTTTTTCTCAATTTTCCATCTGAACATCTGTTTTCATTCCTTTTTCTCTTGCTATGCTGTTCACATCTGGCTGCGGCCAACTACTCCTCAATTTGTGTGCTCTTGTCCTGGTTGCCTTTGTTTCTCTGCTTAACCTAAGTAACCACTCTCTTCACCCTACCCACTGACTAGTATAAATGATACCTTCTCCTGCCGTAAACCTCTCATGGTGACTGACTTGTAGATACTGCAGATACTACAGCGCTGGCAACTGAAATCCGATCCCTGAGCTGTGCGCTCACATCACAAAGACCCAACACGGGATAGTAAAACTACGAAAATAGAGGCGGTTAGAATGCGAACGCATCGCTCAGTGGTCGGATTTCAGTTGCCAGTACTGTACTGAGGATGCTCGGGGTCCTATCCGGTCAGTATGCACATGTAAGATGTTAATAAATGTTCTTCGCAAACCCCCTTAACCCTGCATGATCAGTTAGTT